GGTTAAAAGGTTGTAAATGCTGGGAGGTGGAGACAGGCATTCTGATCATGTGACTTCAGTGATTGGCAGTCACAGCGGTCACATGATAGAAAAGCTCCCAATCGCAAGTAGGCATCGGGAGCTTTACGGTATCTGCCAGTAACTGTGCTGGGAGCATGCAGGGCATTACTGTTTACATAATATCGCATATACAGTATGTGGCCTTTCAGTGTTAAAGCCCACTCACCATGAGGCCACAGATATGGGTGCGTTCGGCAGAAACTGGTTGAATCTCTTTCTTTTTTTCTGTTAACTTCTGCCAACTGAAAAAGCTGATGTCTGAACAATATATTTTTACACTTTTTTGTAAATTTGATAATAGATTTTAGTATAGACTAACTTAGGCTCCTTTCACACTTGTATGACTTGTCAAGTGACTCTGGAAAGAAAAGTCACATGACAAGTTGCACCCCATGTTTTCTAATGCCAACTGTTCAAATATGTGTGACCTGAGAGAGTGTCAAAACAATTACACAAAAATAAGAACATGAGTGCTAAACAAAAATGAATATGAATGCTGAAAATAAAAGTAATAATAACAATAATAATAACTGTCACTAATAACCGGTTCCCGCCCGGCCTATGGCCAGATGGCTGTCAGGCGAGCACCTCGTTCCTCCGGGTGGACGCCATATGGCGTCCTTATAGGTATGCGCAGTTTACTATGGTAACATTATACTACTTTGGTCATAGTGTAATATGAAAAAAAATCTTACAAAAAGAGAAAAAAAATTTAATAAAAAATAATAAAAAAAAACAATTATCAATTTTTTTTTTCGGACTGTCATCAGTCAGTGTCCCTGATCACTGCCATGCCAGTTATATGATGACGCTGTACTGCACTGGTGACCGTATGTAAACAAAATTGTGAAAATAATTTTTTTTTTATTTCTTCATTTCTGAAAAATTATGGCAAAAAATTACAACTTCAAAAAACTACATGTTATGAAATACGTCGAACTGTCTACTTTGCAAAAAGGGGTCATTTGTGGGATATCTGTACTGTTCTGACATTCTTGGACCTCAAGAAATTAGATTGGCTGTCAGTACTTCAGGATTGATCAATATTCAGATCTATACCATAGTTTGTGAACTCTATAACTTTCCTACAAACTAAATAATAAATACTAATTTGGGTTATTTTCACCAAAGACATTTAGTAGAATGTTGGCCTAAAGAAACAAAGAAAAATGTGTTTTTTTTTAATTTTAGGTATTTTATTGTTAATTTAGCAAAAAATAAAACCCCCAGCGCTGTTTAAGTACCACCAAAAGAAAGCTCTAGTTGTGTGAAGAAAATGATAAAATTTTAGTTTGGGTGCAATGTAGTATGACCGCGCAATTGTCATTCAAAGTGTGAGAGCACTGAAACCTGAAAATTGGCCTGGGCAGGAAGGGGGTAAAAGTGCCCGGTATGGAAGTGGTTAAGATGATACATTCTGGGTGATATGTTAACCTAATAAAAATGAAAAAGAAAGAAAGAATAAAAAATATTGGCTAAATAAATCTGAAAACTGGTATGTGTATAAATTGAACAATATGAATTAAAATAAAAATAAAAATAAAGAAGTAGATAAAAAATAATAATAATAGCATGATAGTATTAATCTTAATAATAGTAATGATAGTACTAATAACAATAATAATCGATATTGTTAAAATGATACATTCTCGGTAACAAATTGACCTAATAACAATATAGGCATAAAAAATGAGTAAAATGATATGTGTATTTTTTGAATTATCATTATTGAGCATGTATCAATTGAATAATGTTGATTATTATAGCTATTATTACTATATTTTCTTTCTGCATTGTTACAATTGCACAATCAGATTGCAATGATTATTGTTGTTACTACTATCATTATTGTTCTTAGTATTATTACTATCATGCTATTATTAATATTAATTTTTTTATGTACTTCCTTTTTTTTTTGTAATTGGTTTTGCAATTGTACAATCATATTGTACAATGTTCAGTTTATACACATACCAGTTTTGATATTTTTTTACCCAATATTTTTTTCTTTTCTTTTCATTCCTATTAGGTTAACATATCACCCAGAATGTATCATTTTAATAATAGTAATAATTATTGTATTTATTATTTTTTTATTTCTCATTTTTGTTCAGCACTCATGTTCTCATTTTAGTGTAATTAAGACTCCATGGAGGGGATAATGTATCGATATCAGATTGATATTAAAATCTTATTTTGTTCTTTCTATCCCTAATAAAGAGGGCACTTAGACTCCCAAAATGCATTGGCTACTTTTTGAATTATACCCCTGACCTTTAGTGGAATAAAGTTGTATCTGGTCCTCTTAGCAGTGGTGTGGCACTTCATTTTCAACTCTTGTTACATTCCACTACATCCATAGAGATTGTTGAGATCCTCTAAAGTGTAGAAGCCACCTGCCCAGGATCCAGATCATTTACATCAATACCTTATGTTAACAATACCAGTAAATAACCAGTTCCGCACCGCCCTATAGCAGAAACACTGCTACAGGGCGGCATAGGTGGGCAAAATCACATATATATATACATGATTTTGCAGCTCCGGGTAGAGGATGCATGCTCACCCTACCCGCGCCGCCATTCGTAGCCTCGACTGTCAATCCCCGGGTCATGGATGGTGATTACTCGCCAGCACCTGGTGGGTGGGGGGCCCATGGAACCCAGCTCACTTTGGAGAGGTGAGGAGGCCCCTGTCTCAGCTCCCCATATCCCTCTTATTTGTAAATCACCCTGTGCCTGTTAGGGGTACAGGGTGATCTGTCCTAATATTGTGTGGGCTTTGTTTCAGACTGTGTAGACATGTTCAGGAGATAGGTGGGGTGGGGGTTGTTGATTGTTTAATGTTATGTGGCTGCATTCCATTGTTCTATTGTTTGTCTGGCTTGGGAACAAACTATTATGGGATGTATGTGTTTATGTGTATTAGCTTAGTGGGGATGTCTCCAGCAGCCCTCCCTCCTGATGGGACTGTCTGATATTGTGAAGTTTGAATACCTGTGTGTCTCCTGTTACTTAATGTATATTGCCCCGCCCTGTGTCATTGGGCAGGGAGGGGGGGTCGTTTGAGTGTATATATCTTGTATCTGTGTTCAAATAAAGTAGTCTACCTCTGGTTTACTTCAAATCTGGTGTCGTCTGGATCTTGGGGTAACAATAGACAGATTCACTGGTCTCATGTTCCAGAGCCTGAGAAGCAGCTTCTTGACAGAGATACCCAGTCGTGGGTGTCTGGGGTCCGTTACACCCGGTGATTGCTGAGTATCTCCAATGGGGGAGAGACCTGTATATAAACAATACAGATCTCTTCCCTTTGAGCTCCTGCACGCTGCTTTGTATGGCTCTGCATAGCAGAGCCATACAAAGCAGTGGGCGTACAATGGAAAGCACTCACACAGCATACTGTGTTAACCCCTTCCTGTCCAGTGCCATTAGTACAGTGTGTCAGTGCTTTTTATTAGCACTGATCACTGTATTGGTGTCATTGGGGATGTTAGTGACACCAAGTCAGTTACCCCCAGTGTCAGAATGCCCAATGCAGTCCCGCTATAAGTCGCTGATTGCCACCATTACTAGTTTGAAGAAAACAAAATTCCAGTATCTATATCGCCATTTGTAAACGCTAGAAATTTCACGTAAACCAATTAATTTACACGTATTGGGATTTTTTTTTTTCAGCAAAGACGTAGCAGAATACATTTTGCCCTAAATTTATGACAAAATTTGATCTTTTCAATTTTTTTTACTAGACATGTTTAATAGCAAAAAGTCAAAAATATTGTAAATTTCATTTGGGTGCAGCATTGCATGATCGTCAGATAAAGTAACACAGCGCCGTATCGCAAAAATGGCCAGGTCAGGAAGGGGGGTAAATCCTTTGCGGGGAAAGTGGATAAACCTATGGGACAGGTGCTATCTTTCCACTTTCCTCAAATGTTTCAGCCATAGACAGGCATGCATTTTTTTTCTTGCCATACCTGTAAAATAAGCTGCCAGCAAACATATTATATTGGAGCAATAGGCACTGAAAATATTTCATAGTGTCATAGTTACATAGTTAGTCTGCTGAAAAAAGGACAAAAGTCCATCCAGTTCAACCATTAAAAAAATAAAAGTTATAATCCTACACCCACAGCTGATCCAGAGGAAGGCAAAAAAAAACTCCAGCAAAACATGATCCAATTTGCTCCTGCAGGGAAAAAAATTCCTTCTTGATCCCCCGAGAGGCAATCGGATATTCCCTGGATCAACTTTCCCTATAAATGTTAGTAGCCAGTTATATTCTGTGTATCCAAGAAAGAATCCAGGACTTTTTTAAAGCAATCTACTGAGCTGGCCAGAACCAACTCTTGAGGGAGTCTATTCCACATTTTCACAGCTCTTACTGTGAAGAAACCTTTCCGTATTTGGAGATGTCCTTATGTAAAAATGTAGACAAAGGTGGTAAGTAGCTGGATGTATCTCTACATTTCCTCATTTGAAATAACAATTCTAATTTTAAACTAGGTCTAAGTTGTACTGTAACAAAATATTTTATTAATAGTTATCTGAATATGCATATCAGTTGGCAGCCAGACCTCATTTTTAGCATTCAAATTTATCTATATGCAAATAATTGATGAGAGCTTGTTAATTTTATGTTTTTTTTCTGGTGGGTGTGAAGTTTATTGGTTCAAAGCCTGTATATTTTGAAAGACATGTAAAGGAAAAACAATCAACATTGCCTATAGCAAACAATGAGATTTCTGATTGCACAGCTGTTTTAAATTTCAGATTGTATTGGTTGCTCTTAGTTCTGAGGCCTTTTTCATGACAATTATCAGTAAATCTGCTCAGTTATCTATTAGGTTGTTAGTACTACATACTAGCTTGATGTATTCCTTTGTATGGAAAATTTTACGCTGTGAAATAAAATTGTCATTTAAACTGTAATTGGCACAGGTTTGGCGCAGTCTGGTGCCTGGGGTTGCTTTGACGAATTTAATCGTATTGAGCTGCCTGTCCTTTCTGTGGCTGCACAGCAGATTTACATAGTCTTACAGTGCAAGAAGAATAAGAAGAGCCAGTTCATATTCACAGATGGTGATGTGGTTGACATGGACAGAGAATTTGGTATATTTTTAACCATGGTGAGTATATGTAGATATACTGCTGTGGATATTGCGCATATCTGTTCAAAACCGTAAAAGCTGACACCTGGATATCCACAAAAAATGATAACACTTCACTGTGCCTTACATCATGTTATTAAATATAGAAATAATAAGGAATACAAATGATTGTCTTGCAAATTATATAGCTTATTACTATGCTTCTTCTGTCAGTTTTACAGTAGATTAAGATGTAATAAATTCAGTGCTAATTATTCCACGCTGTCAGTGATAAGGATGAGGTTCAGGTTTGCCGCTCCTATGGGTGCATGGTTAATGCTGCATTTTCAAAATTTTATACTCTTGGTGAATTAATGGGCGAATTTTCCAGATTGAATTGAAATGCGTATCCTATAGAATTGGGGATGCTGGGGTGGAAGGATTTTTAACTTTTCCATCACTTGGTCCATCCTAATGCTGGGCGACTCACGTATGCACAGTGGGCACCCAGCTGTGAAGCCGCAAGCTGTCACAGCCTGGTGCCTACAGTTGAGATGCCGACGCCAGGGAGAGAAGAGGGAGAAAAGGGACGGCACTGGTGAACACATTGCTGGACCCTGGGACAGGTGAGTGTGTGTTTGTTGAAAGTCAGCAGCTACAGTTTTCGTAGCTGCTGACTTGATAAACACAAATACATCTGGAACTCCGCTTTAAGTGGTGACAACAGTGGAATATGCCTAGACAATGCAAATCAGACCAGAAGCGTATAGTTTCCTTTGGGTAAGCAGGTAACAGGTTGATTTATAGGTAGGAGAAGATAGAAGACAGGAGCAAAATGCCTAAACATGGAAAAAAAAGCAGCAGCTGTTATTTTTCATGAAAGCTATCAATGAAAATAAAAATCTTATTTCCAGGTGATATTATCATATTAAAGCTTATATGAGATTTTTGTGGTTGGGTTCACATCTACTAACATACTATGAGGTTTATGAATTACAGTCCTGGGGTACTTTTTCTTATATCTTTTTTTTTTTCTTTCTTTTTCCTTTCCTTTTCTTTTTCTTTTCTTATCAGAGGTTTTGGACACTGGCAACAAAACAAAAAACTGTGAGCAGCTTGTTAAAATACCTTCCGCTCCCAGCATACTTTGTTTTTTTGCTAGGATCCTAGGAGAATGGATGTCTTTTTTCCAGAAGTGTAACCATTTTTACTAGCCATTTTTGACTTTTTTTAATCTGCTTGAGCTTGTCCCCTTATACAGCTATTCAGATCAGTGTATCCTTTCAAAAGCTTTGGAGGCCATATCTAGACTCCACTGGAATGGATAGTTGCAGGTCTGGAATGTGACCATCAGGCATTGGGTTCTGCTTGTGGTGTTTTCCATGTCTCTGTGTATTGTGTTAGTTAGCCGCAAAGCACTGTCCAGGTCTGGAGCTATGGCACGGTCAGTGGTGTGACCCAATCTATAAAGAATCAATAATGAGTATGCTTTGTGGGACAATTAATGGAATCTACCTCATTTTTAGACCAGTTGGGTGTGATTATTACCCCCATTTTTTTCTGGAAGCTTCTATGGAAAGAGTAAGCTCTCTGAGGAGTTTAGTTCTGCAAAAATTTCCCTGCAACAAGAGAAGTAAAAATATCCTGTCCTGGGCAGAATTTCACTTTCTAGTCTTTCAGGTATGGACAAGAAGCTTGCAGACTTCCTTAGCAGTCAGTACCTGGATCCAGGAGATGGTCCTTACACACAGAAGTGTTAAAGAACATGGAGGATGTCCGATGTGGACCTTCTGAGTGTAGCAAATATTGGGCAGGATTGTTTGGTGTAAGGAAAGAAATTTTGATCCCAGAAAATAATCCATGGAACAAATCCTACCTTTTTACAATCAGGCTTGGATGAACATTTGGCGCTAAGTACTGTCAAGGGTCATATCTTGATCAGTAAACACTAGGACAAGATGGCATTAAGGCTTAGAGCAGGGGTGCCCAACCTTTTGAAGAGCTAGGATCACTTAATTGATTTGGTAACTGGTCATGGGCCACAATGTAATGAAATGGTTCAGAATTAAAAATTATTTTCTTTTGAATAGCATAATGGAAATTTTTTTTCCTGCAGCTGTTGAATGCTGACGGTAGGGAGAGAAGCCATCTTTCAACGCATGGGCCCCCTGAAGCATGGGATGGGGTCACCTTTGCAACCCCTGGCTCTACACCAGTGGTTATGAGGGGGGAGTAGATGGTAAAAACACATCTCAACTATAGGGTTTTATCGATCCCCGAAATGTAAATGATCCCTTACTGTCCTGAGCTCCTTTTAAAGCTGCTTTCACACTGATGCTCTGTGGCTTACCCACACTGTGGGTGCAGTACAGTGCATGTGCGGTTTTCCTGCAGGTTACCTGTGTTTTGCCATAAACTCAATGGGTTTCCACCCCCGGGCATGCACTTTCCTGTTCTGAGGTTGTGGGCCACAGTTTGAGCACCCCTCGCCTAGAGCCTCCTTTCTTCTCAAGATGGTTTCAACCTTTCACCTCAACTAGGGCATTATGTCTGGCCCCAGTATATAAGAAGGAAATTTCCCTTCTTTTTCTGGATGTAGTGGTGCATGTCTATCACTGTTTAATTATAAAGGGAGCCAGCTACTAATTTCACCATTTCTAGATAGCTTATACAAATCATCATTAAAGCATATGGTCTTAAGGATCAGGTCCCATCCTTTCCTGTTAAGGCACACTCTCCTGGATCTGTGAGTCCTTTTTGGGCTTTTCTGCAACTGTTTCCAAAATTTTAAAGGCAGCCACTTAGTATACTGTTTACACATTCTTTAAGTTTGACCAGATGAATGTTCAAGCCTCATCTGATGTTTGTGCACCACCTGGTCCATTGTTTACAAATTCTCTAAGTCTACCAGGTAGATGTCCAAAGCCTCTTCTGATGCTAGCTTTGGCGTAAGGTCCTTCAGGCAGCTCATTGAGGTACAGGCAGTCCCACAAATCTTTAGTGTTTTTTTTTTGCTGTCATTAAGTTGGGCCTGTTAGCATTTTATTTTCTGTGTTGCACACCACTCAGTTGGGCCCCATTTATCTCTGAATTCTGTGATCCCCAATGAGTGAAAAAGAAAACTGTATTTTTGTAGTCACCGTAAAACCTCTTGCTTGGAATTTAATTGAAGGCACAGGTCCCTCCCCTCTGTGTTTTTGGACTTGCTCTCTGCACTGCTTGTTACAAAACTGAGCATGTTGTGAGTGGATGGAGTTATACCAGGCTGTTTACTGGTTTTTGTTTTGCCAGTGGCCAAATCTTGTAGACAGCAGTATTATTATTATACAGTATTTGTATAGCACCAAAAAGTTTGCTCAGCACTGTATAACACATATGTCTCTGAATTTTGTGTCGCTCAATTAACTTTAAAGAAAAGAATTTTACATTGAGGTACAAAATACCAATTTTGAAAAAACATCTGTCCACAACAGTTTATAGATAGGTGCTCTTCAATTGTCCACAACGTATCAACTTTTAACTATTTTATTTTCTGTTTAGATTATAGCTTTTAGTTTGGGGTAACTGGAGCACATCAGGGAGTTGTTATCAATAGTCTGTTCAAGAGTTGCCTTTTTGTGCAGCACCTCATTGTATCCTTTGAAAAAGAAACACTTGATACCCAAAACACAGCACACCCTCACCCCCCGGTCCACTGCAACCCCCTCCCATATCCCCATATGCAATTTTTTTTTAAAATATCAGAGCTATAGACCTTATGGTTTGCTAAAAATTGGGCAGTGCCTGCACAGTACATGTATGTGAGCAGGTAGAACAGTCTAAAATGTGGGAACACAGAAAAGGCCGGCATTTTCTTATATTAGAAATTCAAGTGTATCATCTAAGAGAACAGTAGCAGGGAATTTTGTGAGCAGGTTAAAGAGGGAAATGCTTAGAAACAAGGCAGGCATTTTGCTGCTGTAAAAAAAAAGCACACTACTTCAACATATCCAGGTAGAATAGACCACATTGCACACATAAAGGCAGGACAGTATGTTTTCTCAAATAGGCCAAAATATGTAAACATAAGGCATTTTTTCTGTGAGCACGTTCATTTTTTTTGAAAGCCAAACACTACTAACTATGACCAATAGGTAAAAATATAATTTTCAGTCTTACAGCTTGATATATCCTCTGACCCCCACCCTGTTCATTATCATTGTTATTGTTAATAGTTCTAATACTTAATTTTCACAAGGTATGTTTTACACTTGCTTTGTCTTCACTTAAAGTGAAACTTGGCCTTGGCCGCATGTCAGAGATATATTATATTGTGAAAGTGCTCTGTGATTGATAGCCTAGCAGTCAGTGGAGTTAAGATATAGTTAAGATATAGCTAAATATCTGCTGCTACATCACCTGTCAGGTTAAGAAGTAGAAAATAATAGTTTTTGGAAAAAAGTCCATTTCTGTTATCACAGCAGGGATAATGCTGCAGCCGTGTTAAAGAATTCACTTACCTCAATCAGAAGTTCATATACATTTCTCATGATCCCTTCAAACCAAATGAATAGCACCGTGATATTATGTGGCATTGTGGCCTCTTACTATCAGACTGTACTGAGCCTATCTAGGAAATGTCCTTCTGTTCATACAATACTTCTAGTAACAGTAATGCAGGCCATAGAAAGGTCGAAAATTGGCCGATTTTTCGGTTCGAAAATAAAATCGGCCGATTTTCGGAATGGTTAGTGGGTTAATAGGTCGACCGTTTTTCGGTATTTTGGCAGATTTTTTTTATCGGTAAAGTTGGAAAAAGATCGTCCGATTTTGCCGATCGGCTGATTTTCGCAGCAATTATGGGCAAATCGGCCGATCTTTTTACCGATAAAAAATCTGCGCATGAGCAGTGACCTGCAAGAGGAAGACAAAAAGAAGAAAAAAGAAGAAGAGGATGAAGAAGAAGAAGAGGAAGAGGAGGAAGAAGAAGAAGATGAAGAAGAGGATGAAGAAGAAGAGGATGAAGAAGAAGAGGATGAAGAAGAAGAGGAGGATGAAAAAGAAGAGGATGAAGAAGAAGAGGAAGAAGAAGAAGAGGATGAAGAAAAAGAGGATGAAGAAGAAGAGGATGAAGAAGAAGAGAATGAAGAAGAAGAGAAGAAGAGGATGAAGAAGAAGAGGAAGAAGAAGAGGAAGAAGAAAAAGAGGATGAAGAAGAGGAAGAAGAAAAAGAGGATGAAGAAGAAGAGGAGAAGAAAAAGAGAAGAAGAAGATGATGAAGAAGAAGAGGAGAATAAGAAGAGGATGAAGAAGAAGATGAAGAAGAAGAAGAGATGAAGAAGAAGAAGAGGATGAAGAAGAAGAAGAAAGATGAAGAGGATGAAGAAGAGGATGAAGAAGAAGGGGATGAAGAAGAAGAGGAAGAAGAAGAGGAAGAAGAAGAGGATGAAAGAATGAAGAAGAGAATGAAGAAGCTGAAGAAGAAGAGGAAGAAGAAGAAGAGGATGAAGAAGAGAGGAAGCAGAAGAGGATGAAGAAAAAGAAGAGAATGAAGAAGAAGAAGAAGAAGAAGAAAAAGAAGAAGAGGAAGAAGAAGAGGATGAAGAAGAAGAAGAAGAGGATGAAGAAGAAGAAGGAAGTAGAAGAAGAAGAGGATGAAGAAGAGGAATGAAGAAGATGAAGAGAATGAAGAAGAGGATGAAGAAGATGAAGAAGAAGAAGAGGATGAAGAAGAAGAATTCCAGTCGGCAAAAAGTGTCCCTGCAGAGAGCTCCGCTATTTCTTTGACAGTGCTTTGACATTTATAGCGGTTGCAACAATGTATCTATTTGTTTGCGAATAAAAACATCTGTATCCGAAATGGATACAAATAGATACATTGTTGCAGCCGCTATAAATGTCAAAGCACTGTCAAAGAAATAGCGGAGCTCTCTGCAGGGACACTTTTTGTCGGCTGTAGACGGGATGAAAATTGACCGATTTTTTTTTTTACCATTCCTGGTAACGTCGGCCGCTTGAACGACCGATTTTTCGTTTTTTTTAAAGAAAAATCGTACGGTTTTTCTCCCCATCTATGGCCTGCATAAGTTGGTGTAGATGTGTGAATAATTTATTTATGCAGCTGTAGGGACCTTGCCTTAATTAACTTGAGTACCAATAATACCCCTTTATTGAGAAGCCATTTTTCAGTGCTGTGATAATTTGATTGACAATTACTTGGTCATGCAGCATTGCATCTATTTAGATTTTATATAATTTTTGATGACAGATAGAACTTTCTTTTGGGAAAAACTGTTTCTGTTACTTTATGTTAAAAACCATATCAAAGAATGCCAGTACCGTATGAAAAACATACCCAATCCTAAAATAATATTTAAACCAGGTAGTATGTTGCTTCCAATTTCCTAATCCATATATTTCTTTTTGTAAAACCCCTTTATACTGATCACCCCACATAGCTCACATTTTTTTTTGCAATTTTTAAAGTTTAATATTATAATTAAGGTGAAATATTTTGCTGTAGGAGACCTTAGATAAGTACATACCCTATGTCATATACAATCATTTTCTTACTGTACTAATTGTAGAATGCAGGCTCACGTACAGCTCGCTACGTATCACAGTTTACAGATCCTTTAGACTTGTGGTACCTTCCAGTAGATAATTTTACTTATGCCCTTCTGGAATATAATTACGAAAGTCACATTTGCCACATTTTGAAACCCCCTTTTCCCAGTCTCCTTTCATTGTTGATGATCACAAAATGATTTTGTAGTAAAATATTTGTAACTAGCTTTGCTCTTTTTTATACTAAATTGTGGCTCTTAATGACGTTTCTAACTTTCCATCATTAGGCAACAAACTTTGTTTTCTGTGCTCACTAGGTTTCTCCTAAGCTCAGGACTGCCTATTTTTGCCTGCTGTTGTTAAGTTGTTTCCAGGAGTTAGTGTCTGGAGTAACAATGTATTGGGTTATGAATATTTATCTGCCTTGGTGAATCACTGAGGGTTTTATTTCCCCGTCCCAATTATTTTACAAGGTAGAGTTGAAATAGGAAGGACATTCAAAGGTACTTAGAATAAAGTGTATCTGAATTTCAATACCAAACAATTATATATTGCAGCTTCCCAGTATTTGGATGTGGTGGCTGCATTGGTTTTCTATTTGGTGACCTTTTTTTCTCTTTCACCTGGTGATCCTGCCAGTAACACACTGTCTGTGCTAGGGTAAAAATGCTTACTATAGATAGTGTATATGGGTCACCTAGGTTTCTTACCTATACATGCTGAGGAGCTCCAGGGTTGATGACATAGGTTAGTCATTAAAAACTAGTTATAATAAAATTATCAAAAATATATAGAGTAATAAGGTCCTGCTTTTAAAATGTATGACACATTTCCTACAAGTTGACACATTATTTTTAATTTAGGATATGCTTTTGTTTCTCAAATGTTATTTTCTTATATAGAACCCAGGCTATGCAGGACGTCAAGAACTTCCTGAGAATTTGAAAGTTCAGTTCCGTACAGTGGCTATGATGGTACCAGATCGAGCTATTATTATGAGGGTAAAGCTAGCCAGTGCTGGTTTCCGAGACAACCAAATCCTGAGTCGCAAATTTTACACCCTGTACAAGCTGTGCGAGGAGCAGTTATCAAAACAGGTGGGTGAAACATGCCGAAATCCAATAAATGTTGATGCCATTCTAAAGGAAACCTACTGAGAAAGAAACATGATGATTACCATATATCTCATTATTATAATTGTGTTGATTAGATGTCATGCTGAAACTGCTTTAGTACTTTCAATCATCTGGAGCAAGCCTGCAGATAGGAACTTCTAAACGTTCCAGGTCAGTTACTCAGAAAGTGTTGATGCCACAATAACAGCCAGTCAACCAGCATATTTTAAAGGAGGCTACCATGGGAGTGCCTATACCTTTCTTATGATAGGATTGCTTTGTAGTAATGAGTGGTGCTTGACAAGTCACAAAAAAAATATATACATACAAAAGTACTCATGTGGTTGATCACATAACCTTGGTCCAAACATGCTTTGTTTTGGCACAGGCTTGGACCTCTCCTTTTTTTATGTCCCCTTTGGGGAGATTTCCCCTCAATCTTAGTTCTGGAGACACCTTTACTCCTTGACATACAGAGTACAGCCAGAATTTGAAGTAATGGTTAACCACTCCAATGAACACAGGGGAAAATAAATATCAGACAGATTCTAACCCTTACTGGCAGCTGTAAAAGTGTTTTTCATTGCAGATTGTGTCTCCATTGAATGGATCCTAATCTGTTGCCAGGAGGCTTGGAAATAAAGTTACAGTTCCCCAATAGAGTTGCTGTCTCTCATCCCTTTTCTATACAAAATTGAAAAATGTTTAGACTGGATATTAGCTACAGTATATGCAATTTGGGAAGAAGTTGCAAACTATCAGTAATTTAAAGATCACTTAAATTTGGGATTTGATCATTTGTAGGTTTGCCTAAAATATAATGGATGAAAAACATTGCTCATTAAAAGTTTTGTATTTAGAAGTTACCATACTTACTGTACCTCTCAGTTTTTTTATTTTTTTTTGCCTACATTTTGCCACCAACAAAGATCTATGTGCAATGCTGTGACAAGTATAATCACAAATATTTGTTAATTGTTAGACCTCCATGTACTCATTGAATATTAGAAATTCTTCCATAGAAAATAAATTCCAATTACAGTCAACAAGTTTAGGTCTTGTTATCAGCTGTGATTATAAAAGGTGCACATGTTTAAGATACATTTTGGGCAAATATACTATAACTTAGTACATATACATATATTACATTTTTGCTTATTTTTATTTTCAGGTTCATTATGACTTTGGATTGAGAAATATCCTCTCTGTCCTTAGAACTCTGGGAGCTGTGAAAAGATCCAATCCTGAAGAGCCAGAGAAGACAGTAGTAATGAGAGTTCTACGTGACATGAACCTGTCAAAGCTTGTATGTTCCATTGGTTTTCTTGTAGATATTTATATAAATGGTGAATCAGCCAGATGACATGATGGTGGCATAATGGGTGACATAACTATTTTAGATATGATCCAGCATGTTAATATTTCAGATTTTCTTCATTTGACATATGTCAGCTTCCAAGTTATATAAGAAAATAACTTTGAGAACATACAGAATGTTCACTTGCAACCAAACACAAAAAAAAGGTCACCATTATAATTTATATTGCTAGCAGATGTTTACGATACTGATTATATGATTCGTTACTGGGAAATCTTTATAATCTTTAAAAAGTGATCAACTATAAACCACTCTAAAACATACTATAATGTCAGGTTAATGAACTGATCCTCATTATGACATTTAGAAGTTACTATGTATAATATTTTCACATGACTATAGAATATACATTAAAAATATAATTGTTAACCATCCCGTTGTCACCTATGCCTAAGGCAAAATTCATCCCTGAGATTTTGCATCCATGAGTCAGTGTCATGACCTCAACCGCTTATCTTGCATTGTTCTTGCTCCTGTACAAGTAGTTTATGCTGGAATCACTGCAGTGTAATTGTTGGCTTACAGTCTTTTAAAATTCTTCATATTGCCTATTTATCTATGTGGCAAATGATTCACCTAACTCAATGACCATTTGCTGTTATGGATTTACCATTTTAAAAGAAAATGAAACTACAGTATGTACTTTGCTCTTCTGTGCAATGACAAACATAATAAAGGGTTATCTGATGCATGTTTGCATGATGCAGATAATACAGAGAAAGTATGTTGTGCAGTTGTGTGAGGTTTGCCTGGGACTCCAGAAGTCCCCCTTGCCACATGTTCCTGCTGTTGCAAAAGAGGATACCTAAGTCCTCATGCACACTGGACATGTTTACAGCGGCTGTTTTTGGCTTTTGACGTTTTTTTTCTACAGCCAGTAAACCCCCCAGCATGTGTCCATGCACACATAGACTGTAATCAACGTTTTTTTGGCAGGGAAGTTTTTTGGCTGGAAAAAAAACCCAGGACTAGTGGGTTTCTAGAGGAGTTTTGTAGCTGTAAAAACGCTCTAACGCTGAAAAAACGTGGCAAAACGCAGTAAATTGCGGCAAACCAGCATTTTTGAAAATTTTGGACTAAAAAAAATATTTTTTTTGGTAAAACAAAAACTCTAAAAAAGCAAAAAAATGCAGCTAAACTGAAATACAAAAACGCTAAAAAAATGCTGAAAAACGCACGTTTTTAATGTGACTTTACACAGCTAACGTTACCAGCGTTATAAAACACCCAGTGTGAATGCAGCCTAAAGGCTGCTGCTTATTTTTATTTTGCTGTAACCAGTAACAGTGCCCACTTTACTGTTCCCTTCCTGCATCTGAAGGGATTTGAAGGTAGTCCAGCAATTCTAGGAAAGGAATAGCCACAACAGCACCAGTAACAATCTGCGTTTGCCATTCATCTTGGATATTTAGCTGTATTTTAGCCACATTGTCCATCAGTTGCTGGGGCCAAAATATAAATTGTGTAATCTCTTTCTGGCTCAAGAGAATTGTATCATCTACAGACATGATTCATACAAAGGCTTTAGGGCACAGTCTGGCATGAGTACAAAAATTGTAGCATATAAAGGACAAAAGTTACACATCTTAGAATGACATCCAAACATTGGGCGTACTTATATATTGTTGTAAGGTGTTGCATGCACCACCAGCTATAGCTACAGCTACCAGCTACAGAAGTGTCTTAGATTTTTTTGAGCCCTTAACAACGTCCTTGGCTATGATATCTTTATCTACAGATATTTAGTCCTCATGCACACTTGACGTTTTTACAGCTCCTGTCTTTGGCTTTTGATGTTTTTTTCTACAGCTAGTAAACCCCCCAGCATGATATCCTATGTGTCCGTGCATGCATAGACTAAAATCAACGTTTTTTGGCTGGGACGTATTTTGTCTAGAAAAAAAACCCAGGACTAGTGGGTTTCTAGAGGAGCCTTTTAGAATGTAAAAACGCTCTCTAACGCTGAAAAACGTGACAAAACGCAGTAAATCGCTGTAATACGCCTCAAATCTGCAAAAAAGTTTTTGCTAAAAAACGCAAATGCGGTAAAATGCCGCTAAATGTGGCAAAACACTAATTTAAAAAATGCTAAAAAAAAGCTGAAAAACATTTTTAACATGACTTTTCAAAGCTAATGTTACCAGCGTTATCAAAACCTCCAGTGTGCATGAGGGCTCATATATGCTAATATACTGAAACATCTGTACATTGTGTACTTAGTTTGTTTTTGTACTGACTAAAGACCAAAGCCTGTCCGAGATTGGTTTGGTAGAGTGTGAAGTATGATTGTTGCTATTGTTATCCCTACATCATGAATGGCTAGCATATTGGCAGAAGCAGTCAAAATAGCTCGCTTTTAAAGATTGGTCTCTTAAAGGATAAATTTACCTTTTAGTAAAAAAATAATAAACGCACATTTTTTGCAGGTAAAAAAATGTGCACTTATTATTATTTTGTCTGCAGGAGCCTCTAAACCATTGCACCAGCGATCAGCAGATCTCCTGCAGATCTGTCAGTATATCTACTTGCCCATACGGGATGTACGAGCAAGCAGATATATTGACAGGAAGAATGAATAAACTACCACGGCGCTCCACAGTGCCATGGTAGTTCATTGAGAAGGCAATACAAGGCTGTCACTTGTAGTTTCTTATTCACAGAGGACTGTGAATGAGTGATGCGCAGGGGCGGACTGACAACTCATGGGGCCCCCGGGCAATAGGGGATCATGGGGACCCCGTGTCCTCGTCCATACCCAAAAAAGAAAAAAGCCTATGAAAAAGCCAATAAAAGGTACCAGGGGCACCTCATGGGGCCTCCTACTGCCGCCGGGCCCCAGTTTCCAAATTGTCAGTCTGCCCCTGGTGATACGGTTGGGTGGCCGCGTTTTTTTACAAATGTGAGAGCTAGCGGGGGGGGGGGGGGGATTCCTCGCTAGCTGTTAAAGTGGAGAGCGGGGGCCGGTCTGATTGTAATATGTTACACTCTCAATATATGAAAGGTGAACGTGTGTTTTATTTAACTCTAGTCTTGCTTGGCCTTTGCCGTATCTTCATGAACCTGTAAATAAGTATTTTTGGAGTAGTTATTTGGAATAAAAAGACCTTTTTGGCAAGCAGTGAGTCAATTTGCACCAGTTATGGGTTTTTCTGAACAGTTACATCATATAAAATGTGATAACTCACACTAGATGCACATAGATACAATACTATAGTCCAAGGCTTGTGTATGCTAGCCTGACCCCTGCAGCTACTTTGTGGTGTAAGTGTTGTTATAAAAGTAAATTAACCATAATGAATGATTACTGCTGCAAATATAGTAAGTGCAAGAACTTTGGAAACATCTTCATACATTGAGATGATACAATGTGCTTCCTGTACTTGTATTGATCTGGCTTCAGTAAAGTAACTACATTTTGTTTAATGCACTGTTTATTGAAGCAAAAGAGAAAAATAAAATGTCATAAAGTGATTCTAAAGGTTGTAGTTAAAAAAAAAAAGTTATACTTACCTGCTCTGTGTAATGGTTTTGCACAGAGCAGTCCAATCCTCTTTTTGGGTCCCCCACCAGTGGTCCCGGCTCCTCTCACATGCCGAGTGCCCCCAATAGCAAGTCTGTTGCCATGGGGGGATCCGAACAGACTCAAACAGGCTCCTGTGAATGGACATTGATATTGCTCTGTCTCATCCTTCACTCTCTCCTCATTGGCTCACTGGCTGTGATTGACACCAGCAGGAACCAATGGCTCCCAATGCTGTGTGAGCCAATGATGAGAGAAAGACCCTGAAGGGCCACAGCTCTCATGCACATCAAGATGAAGCCCAGGTACGTATAGGGGGGGGGGGGGGGGGGCTGAGGGGGGGAGATGCACCCAGAATGTTGTTTACTTTAATGCATAGAATGAATGAAGGTAACAAACCTTCTGCCTTTAGAACCACTTTGATTGTAGTTTATAGAACAAAAAGGCTTATTCCTAGATAACGTTGTGGCCAGGGGGGGACTGACCATTTTGAAACTCGGGCACTGCCCGAGGGCCCGGGATCAGTAGGGGGCCCCATGAGATGCCCCTGGTACCTTTTTTTTTTCATGGGCTTTTTTGAGTTTGGGCAAGGACACAGGGGCCCCATGATCCCCTATTGCTCGGGGCCCCATGAGTTGTCAGTCCGCCCCTGGTTGTGGCATAAATTAAAACAATTATGAGCTTTTTTTTAAAATCACTTATGTTTTGTTATCATCTTTATGATATCGCTATTTCAGGAAAAGAAAATATTCTCATTAAATAACATTAAGGCTCTGAAAATAGCAGGAAGAACTACATACATTAAAACCATTACACACAAATGTTACTGTTCTCCTAGGTGGATGAAGACGAGCCATTGTTTATGAGTCTGATAAATGATTTGTTCCCTGGAATAACTCTGGATAAAGCTGGTTACCCTGAGCTAGAGGCAGCCATACAGAAACAGACAGAAGAAGCTGGTCTTATCCATCATCCTCCTTGGATTCTGAAACTTATCCAGCTGTATGAGACGCAGCTAGTGAGACATGGTAAGCATGCAAATCTGGCACTGAACGGGATGAGCATAACGGCAGAAAACACCTGCATGTCTTATCTTAATCACATTTATGCTTTTATTATGGCAATATGAGACAAAATATGTATACTTTTACTGTAATTTAGGTGAAAGCTTAACTCCAGGAAAACAGCTGAATCCACTGTTGAACTACAAATAAAGGAGCTAATATACCAGTCAAACTTGATATTAAAGCCTAAGTGTAATTTTTAAAAAAAATCAGCATAAGGGACATTACTTACTATTAATCCAATATGTTCCTTGTGCTGCTGGCTTCTGCATTCCTTGAAATGATCCTACTTTAATGCCCACCCTAACTGTAATCCTCAACTGCAGTGAGTTTTAATAGAGCTGAGGAACTGTGGCAGGTACTCATCAAGATTGTCTGACTTTGCTCCCCATTTCCATCCACCTTCTCTATTTATAGAGGACATTCTACAGCTTCTATGAATGAGTGGAGGGAGCAGACCATTCATTTAGCTACCTGTCCTTTATAAAATCTTTATATATACTTAGAAATCATTTTTCATTCATAGAAGCTATACTATGGACTGAGCTGGGAAAGGGCGGCATAGTCAGGCACTCTTATGAGTACCTGTCACAGTTTCCTCAGTTATTAACCCCCCCTGCAACAGAAGATTACGCCAGGAGAGGGGGGGGGGACAGCAGAAGAGGAAGATTTCAAGGACTGCAGGAGCCAGCAGCACCGGAAACACATCAGATTAATTGTAAGTAATGCCCCTCGTACTCATTTTTTTAAAACTAATTTTAGGATTTAACACAGCCCTGCCACACAGCACAGTCCTGTGTAGGAAGAAAACCGAATCTTTTTTTCTGTTGTAGTTTCACTTTCATTCCCACCCTGCTCTGTCACTCTGCTTTCTCCTCCTATCAGCATGTCCCTTGCACTGCAACACAACCCTTAAATAAAATAATTTTATGAGCCCACCAAGCATTTTTTAAAAAAGAAGTAACATAACAGGTTTGGTGACATGTGTGATGTTATTTCAAGTTCAATTATATTGCTTTTGTGTTCAGCATACTATATGAACCAAGTCTTCTGTTTTTATGCTTTAATGACACTGATAACTTCTCAAACATGAATGATGAACTTTCAGATAACATCACGTATTTTTGGGGGTCCAAAACTGCATAAAAATATGGGGGTGCTGGAATGCACAGATATATTGGACAACTTCCCTGCACACAAATATAAAGGTAGCTTGGCTAATAATGACATAACAGACTGATAGTGTTGACAGGTGGCATTTGTGGTGCTCACAGCTAGACAGGGTCATTATCTCATCACTATAGGTTCCTTTACAGAAGGTTTTTTAATGGTTTAGAGCAGTTCTGTGTGAAATGTAATTTGAAACAAGGCCCTGTATGTATATTTTTTGTTAAATTGCAGGTTCTTATTAGGGATCATTAAAAATGCTTTACAGTAGATCTTGATAATGTTGGATCTTGATCAGGGGTGTATTTACCACAAGGCAAACAAGGCATTTGCCTAGGGTGGCACTTTTCAGGGGTGCAGCACCGCCCCCCTGGAAGCATGGATGGAAGAAGGAACACATGTGGCTTGGGGACCAGGTGGGATCTGAGAGAGGCTGTGTCAGGGATGTGGGTATGACCAGAAGTGTGTGGACTGACACAGGGAAACGCAGGCTTCAGCTATAGTAAATAATATAATTTATTAAGACTAACAATACAAACGCAGTGCAAAACTAAACATAAACACAGTGCAAACAAACTGAACCAAACCTCCAACAGATAACAAACATACAATACAAGAGTAGTCAGGCAGGCCGGGTCGGTAGCAAACGGGCAAACGGAGTACCAGGAGCAGGCGGGAGAGTGGTCAGGACTAGCCGAGGTCAGTACAGGCAGAGTTCAAGCAGAGTCAGGACAGAAGTAACAGGATCAGGAAACCAGGGCCAAGCAAACAGTACAACAAGGCACAGACTGGAGGTCTGGCCATCCCTTAAATACACCACCTGCAATCAGCCCCAGGTGGTGGCTAATTGCTGGAGTGAGCCTCTGGTTGCTTGACCAGTCCTGGTACTGCAACCCACAAGGCAGGTGAGTCCCATCACTATTGGCGAGTCCATTCCTGACAGGCTGTGGACTGCTTGACTCTCGTTCCCGGGGATGTCCAGAGCTGTGAAGGTGGGTGTCTTTCTCTCGCTGGGAGGGGAGTTGCCAGTGTATGGGGGCGGTAGTGGAAGGCTCTCGGGTGGGGGGGCAGGGGTGTTGTTGGTCAATCTCAGGCTCTCTCCAGGGAGGGGGAGAGCAAAGTCTATGTTGCATAGGGCAGCACAAAACCTAAATACAAAACTGATCTTGATAGGTTAGTAGCAGCATATCATAGAGGTTTCGGTATGGTGTCCTTGTAGATAACCTAAAGTGCAAGATTTCTATATTATACGTAATCTTCTATAGTTATACAAAAGAATGTATTATTATAGAATGATTTGGACATATACTGTATATAGATGAAGGGCACTAGGTCTTCAGAATTCTGGGTAATGAAGCATAACAGCTGTACTGTCAAGAACTGCTAATATCTTGAGAGTGGATGGTTGTTATCTTTCAGAAATAGCTAAAGAATATTTATGCTCTTAGCAAGTAAAAATGATTTGTGTTATAAAAAAAAAAGAAATACTGTATAAAGAAACTGGTAGTTTATTATAGATATACATTCATTTTTTAAATACTGGTCAAGAGAAAAAAAATGTTTGTTTACTCACATCTGCTTTACAATCAACCTGTCTTTGAATGAAAATGTTTTATTTCCACAATACAACATAATTTATTATGCATCATCTTTCTAAAATGATACAGATTTCTGTATAGTGAGCAGGGTACCTTTTTGGCAATCTATAATGCTCTATATATCACTTTTTATAAAACTTTTTTTAATTTAATGTTTCATCTTGGTTATAGCTACAATATAATTACATTTATCAGAGGTTACCCAAGTACAACCTTGAATTTTGTTTTTAAGGAATGATGACACTTGGACCTAGTGGTGCTGGCAAAACCAAATGTATTAATGTCCTCATGAAAGCAATGACAGATTGTGGAGCTCCTCACAAAGAGATGAGAATGAACCCTAAAGCTATCACTGCCTCCCAGATGTTTGGCACCCTTGATGTGGCCACAAATGACTGGACTGATGGCATATTTTCAACTTTGTGGAGAAAAACCCTGAAAGCAAAAAAGGTAGGTATCAGAAACTCATTCTGTTTTCGTTTTTACAGCACTGCATGTATTCTTGTTTTAGTATCCACATGAAGACCTCTACTCTCTGGCTTTTTCATACAAAGTTATGTTTTTTGGAATGTTTTCAGGGAGAGCACATATGGATAGTCTTAGATGGACCTGTTGATGCAATATGGATCGAAAATTTGAATTCTGTTTTGGATGACAATAAAACGCTCACGTTGGCTAATGGGGACCGTATTCCAATGGCACCTAATTGTAAAATTGTATTTGAACCACACAACATTGACAATGCCTCCCCAGCCACTGTATCCCGCAATGGCATGGTCTTTATGAGTTCCTCAGTGCTGGACTGGAGACCTGTCTTGAAGGCCTGGTTGAAGACCCTACCTGTTACTCAAAATGATGTATTATGGAACTGTTTCGACAGCATCTTTCAGGTACATAATCCTTAAGTGTTTCTGCTCATGGAATATTACTGATATAAAGGCATCTTTCATTATTTTTTACACTCTGTCCATTTAGAAAAAAGTGACAGGATCTAAGTTTTACACAGTTCAGTATCACTTACATGTCTGCTCCTCACCCTGTGACAGGACATTGAAAAGAGAAGCAGAAGACTGATGAGCTCTTCTCTCTGTCATACTGCTATCTCCTCTGATCTGCATGTTTGTTGCACTGCAGCATAATGTTTGGCTCCTGTGCTCTTTCTCTCTCCCCCAGTCTGAGCTCTGTTGTAGGACTGCAAATGGCTGATACCAGGTCTAATGTAGGTGCTTATACCACTTACATTTTAAAATATATTTAAAATATTATTTAATACATAGTTACAGTAACCACTACCCGACAGCCATTTGCATATATGCAGCCTCTCTGCGGGTGGACTTTAATGCGAATCGCCTGCATATATGTGTCCCTAGATAAACACTTTAGTGTGCTGAGAGTACGCTCCCTGTGGGTTTCCAGCACAGCAATAGGTGGGTACTGGAAAGCTCCCGATGCCTACTTGTGATCAGGAGCTTTCTGGTCATGTGATCGCAGTGACTGCCAATCACATTGGTCAAATGATTGGAAATTCCCGCCTCCTTCTACCGGCATGTAGATCCTGTTAAATAGCTGGGAGACAGCATGTGGAAGGATTTACTTATTTCTTTTAAATCTGCTTGAAGTTAAGCTTTGAGTGTACTTATTGCTTTCCTCTGTATGGGGTTCACATACAGAATCCTTTTTTTACCTAATTTTTGCCTTGCAACTTTTAGTCTTCTAAAAGTGATTTTGGCACTATATGATGACAATATTTTAACTGTACAGCTACTGTACTCTACAGGGGAACTTCCATTCAGGAATCTGAATATTGTGTAAATGTGGAAAACATTGAACCCCACAGTTTGAAAAAGAAAATTTGTAAAACAAAACCTCTAAACTTTCCTTCCAGCTTTCATTCTATGACCCCTGGTACACAATAGCCCAGCGGCTGCAGGAATAGCACCTGTTCCTGCACCGCCACCACTTGCAGACACATTGCATTTCTCTTGCGAGATACGTGGGTGGGTGCCATTCATTCTGAATGTCACCCCCACACAGCGCATCCTGCAGTGCATTTGTGGGTGCGGGAACCCCACAAAAACTGCATGGTCAAAAAGACCATGCGGTTTCTGCGTGAGTGAAATGTTTCCTTCACGCTGGCACAGCAGCCCATTCAAATGAATGGGCTGCTGTGCCTGCACATACGTGGATTGTACGGTCTGCACTAGTATGAACCAAACCTAGAATACTTTAATATTTGCAATAATCAATATGTTATGCTATATTTGTTTTATTGGGCAGTACCTATTAATGCTACATTCTATATGAAATAAATATTTACTTATTTTAGCAAATATTCAAATTCATAACCAAAAATTAGCAAAACTTAAAACAAGATAGGAAAGAGCCTTAATATATTATTTAAAGAGGAGGGTCGAGAACAAACTGATTATTCCCCATGAAACACAGGATTTGATTTTCACCAGCATTGCGAAGAATATCCCTAATGATAAAAGGTAACGGATATTAGACTCCATAAGCCTGTAAGAGCTACCAGTGTCGTCTTTTCTGAAAATTGCTTATCATTATGGTGCAGGCTCTGTCTATCAAATATGCTTTGGACTTAGGATTTTCTGGATAAAAAGGAGCTTGAAGAACTACTGTATGCCTAAGTATTCTGAATGACATTTTAGAGAATATGGTTACTACGGAATATTGCAAATGATGTTTTGCCTTAGTACAGAAAAACCTAGTTGTTGGTACAGACATTTTCTACATTTGTAAACAGGCTTCATGTGTTCCTTGTAGTTATGTGCAGGCAGATGACCATTTCTATGAGACTAGTATTCTGATAACTATCAGAAGGCCTAATAAATATATATAGTACACATAACAATATGTAATATGTAAACATGTAATAATTTAATATGTAAACATGTAACAATACACAGGAACAGGGGTGGACTGACAACTCATGGGGCCCCCGGGCAATAGGGGATCATGGGGCCCCTGTGTCCTTGCCCAAACTCAAAAAAGCCTATGAAAAAGCTACCAGGGGCATCTCATGGGGCCCCCCACTGACCCCGGGCCCTCGGGCAGTGCCCGAATTTCCAAATGGTCAGTCCGCCCCTGCACAGGAAGCACAATAAACTGCAGAGCAATCATTATTGTTTTTTTTATGTTAACATATTACTAAAGGCAAAACTTTTTTTTAGTTTTAGATAGAGTTGAAAGGAATTAGAACACCTGTCAGGATTTTATTGCTGTGTGTGCACCCAATAAGGGGATTCACCCTCTCTATGTGTCCTTTTTACCATTATCATTGAAAGTAAAAGAAAATCCCAAATATTGGGTTGTCTCCAGAAAAGTAACAGATGGAAAATCTTCCAATGGGGACACTAGTTCTGGTGACCTGGGGGTCCCCAAGGAATTTCCTTAATTTACAGGGATTTACTCTCACTTCCTGTTTGGCTATTGGACAGGAAGTGAAGGGAAATCTCTGCAATGGGACACAGATGGTGAAAATAAATCTGTCAGGGGTTATAACCCATTCTTACTCTATCCAAAATAAGCTCTGCTCTCTTGGTATGGGGAGGCAACATGGAAGTTTGTTTCGATAAGTATAACTCCCTGGGGGGGGTAGATTATCTGCAGATATTGTGCTATGCCCTGAGTGGGCAAATTGATGGTGTCTCTTTACGTATTTTATATAGATGTTATAATTCTGGTAGCACAGTATGTACAGTTGTTCCAAAATTATCAACCCCCACTGAAATTGAGTGTTTTGACATTCTTTTGATCATTCAGTCATCTTGCTTACATTTACATTAAAGAGGCACTTGTAGGTCAGACAAATATAACATAACAGTTATAATGAAATAACCACAAATGTCTTTTCTGTGCTCACAGCATTATCGTTTTATTCAACCCCCAAGTGACATTCAATCTTAGTACTTAGTACAGCATCCTTTTACAGTTATAACAGCTTTTAAACGTGAAGCATAGCTTGACACAAGTGTCTTGCAGCGATCTACGGGTATCTTCGCCCATTCTTCATGGGCAAAGGCCTCCAGTTCAGTCACATTCTTAGGCTTGCGCACTGCAACTGCTTTCTTTAAGTCCCACCAGAGGTCTCAATCGGATTTAAGTCTGGTGACTGCGTGGCCACTCCAAATGTTCCAGCCTTTCCTCTGCAACCATGCTCTAGTGGACTTGGAGGTATGCTTGGGATCATTGTCCTGTTGAAAGGTCCAACGTCTCCCAAGCCTCAGGTGTGTGACGGACTGCATCACGTTTCCATCCAATATCTCCTGGTACTGAAGAGAATTCATGGTACCGATTGCACACGCTGAAGCTTCCCTGTACCTGCAGAAGCAAAACAGCCCCAAAGCATGATTGACCCTCCACCATGCTTCACAGTAGGCAAGGTGTTCTTTTCATCATAGGCCTTGTTCTTCCTCCTCCAAACATAGCGTTGATCCATGGGCCCAAACAGTTCTAATTTTGTTTCATCAGTCCACAGAACACTATCCCACAACTTTTGTGGTTTGTCCACATGGCTTTTGGCATACTGCAGTCGACTCTTCTTATTCTTTGGAGACAGCAAGGGGGTACGCCTGGGAGTTCTGGCACGGAGGCCTTCATTACGCAGTGTGCGTCTTATTGTCTGCTGAAACTTCTGTACCCACATCTGACAAATCTTTTCTCAGTTCCTCAGCAGTCACACGGGGACTTCTCTCCACTCTACGCTTCAGGTAGCGCACAGCAGTCGAAGTCAGCATCTTCTTTCTGCCACGACCAGGTAGCGTTTCAACAGTGCCCTTTGCCTTGAATTTGCGAATGATGCTTCCTAAGGTGTCTCTTGGTATGTTTAACATCTTTGCAATCTTCTTATAGCCATTGCCCTTCCTGTGAAGAGAAATCACCTCTTCTCTTGTCTTCCTGGACCATTCTCTTGCCTTCACCATGTTTGTAACCACACCAGTAAATGTCTAGAAGGAGCTGAGTATCACAGTCATTTTAAGCTGCCTAATTGGTGCTTATTATGCTTGATTGCTGCTCGGTGACATCCACAGGCCTGATGGAAAGCACCTGTATGAACCTCTGTTCTTCAGAGTGGTAGTCTTTAAGGGTTGAATAATTGTGGCAATGAAGAAACCACATAAGAACCATTTACTACTGTATTACATAAACAATTGATGTCATTTTAGTTGCATTTGGGTAGTTACAACGTCCTTGTAGGATTTGATTCTGAATACAATTCCAAATGTACACTATAGTCCCTAAACCCCTTTACAGCATTGGGGGTTGAATAATTTTGGAACAACTGTATTAACCATTAGCCCCCCCGGCCTATAGCCGTTTGGCGGCCGCAAAAATGCTTTGGCCATTTGGCGTCCTCCCGCAAATGCACAGTTCGCGCGGTTGCAGAGCCGTGCAGCGGCGCGATCTGTCACCGGCCGTGTACCTCGGACACGGCCGATGACAGATCTGAGTACCGGCCCCCTTGCCGGTACCATGTGACCTGCTGTGACCAATCACAGCAGGTCACATGACGGTTGTATACAATGGATGGCTTCATTCATGCCATCCATTGTATACTAGTGCCTAGCTGTGAATGGTCACAGCAGGTCACATGCACATGTCATGTGATTAGCTGTGGCCAAATCACAGCTAAGCACGAAAAAAAAAAAACCTGAATGAATCGATGTCATTCAGGTAAATGCTTGCTTATAGCAAAATAATTCTTTGCTATAAGCAAATTGTGTAAAAAAAAAAAAAAAAAAATACTGATCACTTCCCCAAAGTAGTAAATGTTACTATGGTAACATTGTACTACTTTGGTCATAGTAAAATATGAAAAAAAAATCTTAAAAAAAAATAAAAAAAAGTAATAAAAAATTAAAAAAAAAAA